ATTTCGTAACCCGTGTGACTATTCGTAGTGACTTGATATGCGTGAGTTTAGACGTCGTCTCACAGCCTGTCACAACCCTAGTATCATGGTGTACACTCACAAGGATATAACTCTGACGTTCCTTATATGTCGAGCACCACAAAAAAGCACAACTGAGACTATCTAGCACCGCATACGGTCCGCTCAAAATTGCTACAAGATTGAATAATCCGATTCAGAAATAACACAACCGATTTGGGGTTTTTTTTACTTGCTTTGCCGTGTGCATAGGGAAAAATCGTGCTGCATAGTCTGAATTGTGTCAGTTATGACATCAACTGCACGTGATGTTTGATGTCGTCATGATTTCACAGTTTTTCTTCTCCTCATTGTATTCTATGGCTGTAGTTCATGTACTGCAGCAGTATGATATAACTGTGTTTCTATGTGCATGCTATATTGTTTCTAATCAGCGACAAATTGTAAGATCCGCAACTCATTGTTATGCAGCGATCATGTCACATGCGGAAGTGATAAATGAAACATTCTACTAGTAGTATCAGTCCAACCTCTTACAATAAACGTTTAAGTTGTATATTATGCAAGAGTTGACTAGATTAGCACTTTTGTCAATTTTGAAAAGTGAGTAGAAATCCCTCTCATAAAGAATCACTCTCTCATTTTCTTTTTTCTACCAAATTTTGTCCTCCTCTGTTTAAAAAAATCCCCATAGCAATTTATTTCAAGAGCCTCTTCTGTTTATTAAGCTTACAACTGTAGTGCCTTGCAGTTTAGACTAGACCAATGTTTTTCTTCTCCGAAAAAAGTTTGTAAACACTGAATATGATTATTTATTTTCACGTCTTTGCATTGTACCTGTAGATTTGTTAGCTCTAGTATTTAGTAAGCATATCTTGCACGTGTGTGACTTCTGTAGCAAAAAGTCCCTTAACTTTGCACGCTGATCTCTTGAGCATGCTCAATAGTACCACTTCCAAAGTATTTCTCGACTTCTATTTTCACTGTGCCAAAAGAAAAACTGAAGCATGTTATACATAGTCCAATTGGCTGATGTGCTTCCTAAAACCTTCCGCATTAACCGATTCAACTCTAAATTAATGTGGTAATTCTCAGTATCCCACAATGATAAAATAATGTTTCCACGAAGGAATGGAATGACCTAGGCCTGCGGTGGAATCCTAAAGAGTACCACGGCATCCAGGAGTTCCTAGTCCCGTCCGAGGAAGTTTGGAGACCTGACGTGGTTCTCTTCAACAAGTGAGTTCATTTCATTCTGGCTGCCAGTAACTCAACAAGCTCTAGGGACTGGGATTAGTCGGACCCTCTCTGTACCGCTGATTAGATTATGTGGCGTGAGAGAATCTATGAAAACAAGGCGGTGCCATCATGGCCTCCACCATCCCCTTATGAACACACAGACAAACACGCACGTACACACACACACACACAGAGAGACACATACGCACGCACACACTCACACACACACACACACACACACACACGCGCGCGCGCGCGCACGCACACACACACACACATACACACATACATACATACATACATACATACATACATGTAACATACATACATACATACATACATACACACACACACACACACACACACACACACACACACACACACACACACACACAGACAGACAGACAGACAGACAGACAGACAGACACACACACACACACACACACACACACATACACACATACACACATACACACACACACACACACACACACACAGGCACTCGCGCACGCACACATGCATCCTTATCTGTTTCTTATTTACACTCCACCAAAAGGTGTATTGGTGTGCTTAGAAAGGAATGACTAATGCAATAAAGTTGTACCGAATGTACCAGTATAAACAGTTATTGCACTTGTCACCTTGTTGTGCTTTGGTTCTGGCTGTTAGGAGGAGCTTTTTAAAGACATTCTCTCTGTTTGGGTTCACTATAGAGCAGTTTTAATTCATTTACTCAGTGAAATTATTTATTAACGGCCTCCTGCTTACCTCTACGATGAGTTAATTAAATTTCACTCACTTTACCTTCTCGCTGAGTATGAGGATAGTAACGACTTCCAATTATTTATACCTCTTTGAAAGGTACAGTCTCATTCTTTTTCATTGTCATTTAACTAACTGAAATCTTTTTTCTTTTTTTCTTTTTACTTTCCATTGATCTGTACCGTACTTTTCGTTGCAGTCATTTACATTTTACATTTTCGTTTACTTCATTTTCTTTCAACTTTATTGTTGTGCAGTTGGATTGTAATTCTTTGAAATCCTGTTCTTTTTTAACATAAGTGTTTGATCACCCTCTTTATTTTAGTACGTTTTCAAAATGTGAACTTGGGTTCATTTCGCCTTGAAATTTTTTTTTACTTGTTTTGTCATTTCTTTCAGAACTTTTAACAAGAACATGGTTTTGTTATTTAGATAAGTGAAAAAGTGTTTTCCTTTTCTTAGAGAAAATCTAAACATGATGTGGATTTAATTTATTTCCAGCTCTCTTTCACTTGTATTGATCTGTCTACTGGCGAATTGTCGTATGGTTCAGTGGTAGTGGCTTTCCTTGCGGTTGATCAGCAAACTAGCTTCAGTCAAAACATTTTTATGCATTCTTATTACATTTGGCATTCTGTAATATCATAGATAGACTGCTTTGGGGTTTTGTTTTACTAAGAACCAAAAAAAATGTTCGGTATAGAATATATTATACTTTTGACTTTGATTATTACATTCGTTTTGACAAAAATTACTATTCTCAGCCTAGATGGCGTTAAAATCTCTTTTGCTGAGGGTCGTACCTTTTGGAAGTTGATTTGTTTAAGCGTAAAACATTGAAACCGTGCTTCTCATTATGTAGAAAAATCATTGAGAAGTTAATGCCAATCATCTGTATTAAAAAGCACATGGACTGTTGCTGTTCTTAGTATAGTGTAGACGGTGTGCATTAAAACACGTCTATCAACGTGCTCTATTGTGATTTGTTGACGCTAAGTGGGCATTTAGATCAAAGTGCTTGAAATAAGTATGGACATGTCGACGTAAGGTTGAATATTCTTGTTCTTGTAATAGTTGTTCTACATTTAACCAAATAGAATCCGCGAGATGTGTTTGCCAGCAATGGGTTACATCGTTTGTGTTATCACCATAGATAGGTTGGAAGTCTCTTCCGTCATCGACTTGGTGAATTAGACCTTTTAGATTAAAACAATCAAAGTATTGAACGTTTCGAGAAGGCGTTACCACATGACACAGTGACGCACATGCCAAGGGGGGGGGGGGTCAGGTAAATGTATAAAACTTATGAAGAGTATTATCCCATGGTACAACTGGTTCAGTGAGGACACATATAACACTAATTAAGTGAAAGGTGTGCATGATACTGACCACTCCTGGACCTGTACTCAAGTTTTACTGATACTGTTAATAGTCAAATGAATGATTGAGAACGTAGAATTTCGAGTCGCAAGTTTTGCTTTTGGATTAATTGTTGGCAGTCTTAAATCGTTTTATAGAGCGAATGTGTTTTATTTTGAATGTCATAATTGTTTCACTTCTCTTGTAAAGGAAGTTAGAGTCGTAAATGCGTCTGTGTCCGTACGTTATGTGCATATGCCTGTATGTGTGATGGTATGTATGTTTGCGTGTTTTTATGTCTGTATGTGTGTTTCTATGACAAGACAGGGGTCGGGTGAAAAACTAAAGGAGGGTTTCAGTAGCGAAGAAATGAGAAGCAAGCGGAAAAAAGACTGATTTGAAGAGAACGTAAATAAAAGGGGACAACAGATTCATGCTTAGGACAAATGGGTGTACTGTTATGATTGTCTTACTTTTCACACCTATCTTCAAATCTTGCTTCATCTTTCTTCACGAAATGTAGTAAACTGTGTTGCATTGCTTGTTATCTACACAGTAGCGATGGAACTTGATATTAAAGTTTGTGAATTATATTTTTAAAAACCATAAATCGGTCTTTATTAATGTATAATTATTTTTTCCTTTTATTATTCCTCAATTCAACCCACTTTGTTTATATTTTTTGTCCAGGTATGGTTCAGTAACTTTATTGAGTAACAGTAACATTTGTATGTTTTGTGAAAATATTTTCCCGGGTTATCAAATGAAACAAACTCACTTGTTTTTCTTGTTTTATTACAGCTGTGGCTTTGTCCTGCTTAATTGTCTAATATTCCAAAAGATCTGATTCGAAGTAGTGTTTATTTGGTTTCGCTTTAGAAAAAAAGAACAATAAATGTTTGCTTAATTATAGTTATGTATTTATCCTGCTTAATGCCTATTTAATGGACTTTTGTTTAACCAGATAGTAATATTATTAGAATATATAGAATTATGATGATTTCTCTTTAATGTGACTTAGTTTTAGCAGTAAAATGCTGAGCATTACGTTGGCCAGTATTTAAGAGCATTAGTAATGATGACCCATCATGAATTCAGTTTCCTTTGTATAATTTTTCAGACAGATCTAATTTGCAAAGTTTTTTTCCATTTCCAAAAAAATTCAATCTACAGCTTAATTTTTGCTCTACAACGTCGAATAAAGACAAGCTAAAGAAGAAAACAACTCTTTGCACCAGGCCTCCATTGGTTTATTCCCAGCTTTTCTCTTTTTGTATAAGATGAAAGAAATACGTTTTTATTGGTCTTGAAGAAATTAGAATGGTCATTATATTTTTATGTTATAAAGAATGAGCGGTTTAATAAATTATATATCGAATGGGTTGCTTCAAAGCTGATGGTCACATGCAGCAAGCCATGGATGCAATGTACCGGTCAAAGAAATAATAACATATTAAATGTTCTGAATTTTAATCCAAAAAAGGTAACCCTTCATACCATTCCGCCCCTTTCATTTTAAAATCTGCCACTGTTTCTATTTTAAGCCCCATTTGAACGAATTTAAGTTGCCCCTCGGGAAGACTGTGAAACACTCTGCGACCCATGGCTGAAGATAACGTTCGGCCAACGACGCCAATACACCTTGTGTACAACCTTTTGCTTGTTGCTATTTACGTTCAGAGTAACCAAATTGACCTTTCTGATTGAAGTTCTTGCATATCTTATCATTTCCTTTGGGTTTCTAATACCCCTCGTCATACACATGCCTATACGGCATACAAAAATAGGTGCATTATTTAGCCGAAGTATGGACCTCACGCTAAACCTTGCCTTGGCAGTGCATGAGTGATGTTGATATATTATTTTTATAGTCGTTGTACTTCGATTATACTCAACACACATTGATCCCTCTATGGATCTATTTGTGGCAAAAGTTGGATTTAAAACAAGCTGGCCTTCTGTAGATGTCAGTAAATCATAAAAAGCAAACTGCGTTCTGATCCCGGAGGATATGGCACTCTGTTTTTTATTTGCTTGTTCTAAATTTCGTTTAGAAAATACCTGCAGGCCAATATGTTTGTAATTCGTTTTACCATTGTTCATGAGAATTTGAAAATATAAAGACGATGTGTGTCTTCTACTGAACATCCCTAAGGTTGTTTTTTTTTCTCTTTTTCATTTTAGGTAGAACAAATTTTTTATACTATTTGCTTCTGAAGTTACCCCTGTCTTTACGACAGAATAATATTATTACTGCATTACCTATTTCCGAAAGTCAAGTGCTGATTAGATACCTCTGTCTTTCAGCGCGGATGGTAACTATGAGGTTACACTGATGACCAAGGCAACATTGCACGCCAATGGCAACGTCGTGTGGGAACCTCCGGCCATCTACAAAAGCTCGTGCACGATCGACGTGGAGTTCTTTCCCTTTGATGAGCAAAGGTTGGTTGACTATTCAGCGTATCGGTTATTGATAGTGTTATTTTTGTTTCGCGTGTATGTGTTTTTGCTACTGTTAGTACAAAATAGGGTGTGCTTTTTTCTTTGCGTTTTTGTTTTGTTTTTGTTGTGTGGTTGTTGTTGGGGGGGGGGGGGTTGGGGGGGTCTAGAGGATGACACGAGTATCTCGGTCTTTCTACTAGAATATTGTATCGTTTCCGGTCCGGGTTGACCTTGACACGCTGTGTGGAAGTCTGCCCCCTGAATTGTTTAAATTTTGTCGAAGGGGGCGTAAAAAATACTTCTTTTTCTAAGTTTAATAAATGATACACGTGGGTGTTATTATTTAGATTATTTAGATTTATTCTGTTAACGTAAACGTAGTGTCACTCTTTGTTTGCTTTGATACTTACATTTGTCTTATTTAAGGATATCTGTCTGTTCTAATGTACGTTTCTATGCTGTAATGGTTAGATTGTTAGCCGTTGCATGTTGACATCATGAGTTGGATTCCAGAGTGCATAAGTGTTATACTGAGTATATTCGCCTTTCTTTTAGTATACTCAGATACTGTTTTCGTCTGACGAGGATAGGGTCCTGGCAGGCAGGGCCTAAGCAATGTACCCCAAAATGATTGGAATTGTGTCGATGGCGGACCAAAACATTTACAAATACAAGTTTACACTTTGCTAAACTACATTTTTATGAACTGAAACCACTCAGGACAGGAAGAAGTCCTTGGAAAAGCAGTCTTCACCGCTCACTTCCATTCGTTAGATATAACGAAATGCATAAATCCGTTTCGTGAAAAATGTAAGCTCTCAAGCTGTACTGATCAGAACTTAAAGGTCTCCAATCTTTTTACTGAGTATTGTATGATTCTGTGTATAGTCGAATACACAGAGAGTTCTAGAAATAACGTTACTAAGTTATACTTGTCAGTGTTCTTATATAAACTCACTGCTTTGCTGATGCCGAACACGGTTTTAAATGAAGAAGGAGAGGGGGAAGTTTTACAAATTACTTTTTAACGTTGCATGTGACTGTGTGACTCGCTAGTTTGCTGATGCCGGAACATGGGTTTGATGAACGTCATCTGCTCCTACTTTGTTCTCAGTGTGTCTATTCTTCTTGCCTTTTTGGCAATATATGACAGTGTTATATTATTACCTTAAACTACAGTTCTACAACAATAATAACAACAATATTAACGTAACTAAATGTTGCGTTCGGCCTGGAGTCTTGTGTGCAAATTGTAATAATGTAGGGCATTGTCAGTTCAGTTTTAAAATCTGACTCTCGTCTTTGTCTTCTTCATGCCTATTTGAAGAAAATAAGTTCCTCCATTCTTCTGTCCCTTCTTTGACGGGGTGGCGCTACGTGTATCGTACGAAGAGGTTTCAAGTGTTGTTTTATCTTCAAATTTGTTCTTTGCTTATTTCCTTGACAGCTCTAATCTTGACTCCGTAAAACTAACATTTAAAGTCATTCGTTCTTTGTGAACGGTAATCTTGCTATTGAGATAAGATAAAGGAAAAAGTAGGGGAGGGTGGCCACGCCGGGAAGGGGTGGGGGCAGAGGAGTTGGATAATAAATTCTCCTTCGGTCGTGATCCACTTTCATACCGTGAACCTTTGAAACCAGGACCAGAGAAGGATTCCCGGCTTCAATAGGGTGTCACCACCCACCCCAGGGGCTGTTAATGAAGTCGTAGCGGTTCAAGAATTGAACCCGTTTATCCATCACGCACATCGACCCCTGTAACAAACCCGACAAGCTCAATCCCAGACACTCGCCGTTGCATCATGTGACTACAGCTCTCACTCTTTTTCCAAGAAGGCCGGGAGATAATCAGTTGGCCAGTCGTTCTCCTGACAGAGCAGAGGACACGCGGCTGACCTGTCTGACAGCTGGGGGGTCTTACAGATCCGTGGCAGGCCCAGGGACTTGGCTTTTTGTTTTATTTTATTTTATTTTTTTATGAGACGAGCCCGATAGCTCAAATACAGTAGAACCTGCTCTTTTGTTTTAGTAAAGGTTTTACGGCGCTAGCAACTGCATAAGGTCATATGAGCGCCAGAAGATTAGAGGTGTTACAAGAGAGTAACAAACATAAAAAAGAAGGAGGGGAGATAAAGACGATAGATGTTTGATAGGAAGAAGGAGCAAACCACACCAGAGCACCCGCGAACCACCCACGAACCTGCTCTAACAACCACCTGACCAATACAATAACCTGTACAAACGACCACTCCCCGCTTCTCCCATTGCGTTCATTTTCATCGACGTTATAATGACACTGTCCAAGAGAATTATAATGTCTTAGATGTTTACTTTTCTCCTCAACAATGGCTGTTTGTCTTAGATAGGTTCGACCGTATATTTTAAAACTCTGGAACAGCCTGAATTTGTACGTTAATTACTTATCCGTAAAATATCTCTCTATCTCTCTTTCTCTCTTTCTCAACCTTTCTTTCTTGTTTTCTTTGTCCCTCTGGCTCTCTCTCTCTCTCTCTCTCTCTCTCTCTCTCTCTCTCTCTCTCTCTCTCTCTCTCTCTCTCTCTCTCTCTCTCTCTCTCTGTGTGTGTTTCCCTGAGCGAGTGACTTCCCCAGCAGGCAAATCGCTATGTTCCGTAGCGTTGTAATGACTCATGCCTTCCTGTCAATGAGGTCGTCTGTTGTGTCGGACTCCTCGCTTGAGCTGCTGCTTCTGTCAGTTGAAAGTCTTCCCGACCTTTTTTATCTTGAGATGACCGGATTCTTCAATGTCCAGCCACCCTAAGGCGCAGAAAACTGCATGCATCGATTTTTTATTCCAGATTCATGGAAAGAATGGAACAAACAAAAATAACGCGAAATGAGAAATGTTCGAGGTGTTCTAGTTCTAGTGCTCAAATGTGAAGATTTGTTTTCAAGTTCAAGAAAGCTTTTTCTTTCCTCTTCTCCGTGAGATAATTCTAATTCGGTCTAAAAATTGTTTTTGACACACAAGCATTTCACCTAGATCTTAGAAAACCACATTCTTCAAGAAAGAATGAAACATCTGTTCTAAACTCGAAGTTAGACGTACATACGTGTCTGGTTTGTTTAAGAAGAGGGAGGGCAGGATTGCGAGCTTAATAAAGCCTCTTATTACATTAGATTTGAAACATAATAGGATAGAAACAAAAAAACAACAACATTCGAACTGAAATAAAAGATAAAGTTGGGTCGATGGGATCAGGTAAAGAAAACGAATGTGGTGGGCATCTCATAGAATAGTGCTGAGAAAACAATTTTATCATTTCTAAATCCGGGTTTGAAAATCATCTGAGAAGGCGTTACGCGTGAAAGAGTCCTGGAGATATAGCTAGAAATCAAACGTGCCTCTTTCTGGTATAAAGCGTTTCAGAATAAATTTAAAATAGAAATATGAAATCACCAAAACCATTGCTAGGAGAAGGTTGCAATAGTAACCTTGTACCGGTCATAATGTATAATTTAAGATACAGATGAAACTGAAAAAACCATTGTCAAAACTTCAGCCCAAATTTCAAATAGATCCTTTAAAGACAAACAGAATTGAGAAAACATTTCTCTGTTGATATAAGTACGTTGCGATAGATTCCAAGTTCTAGGACGCTAAATCTGAAGACTTTATAAAAAATGTTTTTAAAACTCAGCAAAGTATTGAAGAAAATTTCACTTCCAAACTGTAAGAAAGCAAAAATAAATACAACTATAAAAGTGGTATTTTTCAATCTTTGTCTCGATTCTTTTTTATTTCTTGACAATAAACATTTATTTGTGCCTCCTTTGTTTAATTTTGTTTGTTTCTTTACTTGTAATTTCTACATATTTGATTCTGACTGATCTCTTATGTTATTCATTCATTGAGACCGTCGTCTCCTCACTGATGAAGCCCGCAACACCAATCGGCGGACCTCTGTGGACTTGCCCAGGCCGGTGTGTCTTCCACCATTCGTCTATCCTGGTCAGCAGGAATTGGTTACTTGTTGTTCTGTTAGTCGATGGCAGCTGGGGCGTGACTGTTGGATGTAACGGAGCTTCGGAAGTCCCCGCAGATTGCCTCGTGGTGAAGCCTCGTCTAAAGCGATCAAATATACTAGCCATGTTCTTTAACCCTCTTTCGATTATTGTTGGTCGACTTGTTTCTCCGTACCCCACTTCGTCTGTCACAGGGAAGGGCACAGGTGAGGGATCAGTTGTAGTGTCCGCATCAAGCCTTGTCCTAGTGTGAGAAACTACGTTGTTATAGCCGGTTCTATTTTTGCGGGCAGGCAATGTTCTTGATTCAGGTGTATGTATGCGTACTGTCTTTGTGATTGCCACTTTTACTGGATCGTTCTTCTTTTCCGTCCAGTCTCTTTGTTGTGTGCCTATCTCTACTTGTGTTTCTTGTCTCTGCTGAAAAGAGCCGCTTTCTGTGTCCAGTTGCCATGATGGCGCCTCATTCTGATTAGTGAGACGGGTGGTGGAGGAACCTGTGTCAGAGTAATTTGTAGAAGTCGTCTCTTCGATGTCTTCCGATGGCTCAGTAGATTCATCTTCTGTTTCGGCGAGAGAGCTTACGCTGGAAGCAGTGCGCCGACTTCGCTGGCTCGTCCGCTGCGAGTGAACTCTGCTCGTGGGCCGCCTGAGTTTGAGTCGTGTTGAGAATCTAGAGGTGCGGTCACTGGAATACTCAGTGGAATACACGTTGGTACTCTGAGCTTTTCCAGTGCCGGATGAAGTATATGAAATACGAGTTCTGTCAGATTGCAAAGTTTTCGATTCATCTTGTTTGGATGGAACGAACGTTGCTTCTGAGATGGTGCCGAATCCAATGTCTTCGGTATTTTCAACAGAATCATTTTCTGAATCGCTTGTTGTGTTAATTTCTGAATCCCCAATGATGCTGCCCTTTTCCATTTTCGCCAGTTCAGATTCTAACGTCAAATCGCAGGGTCGATTGAACACGTTCTGGACTCCTACATCCGGTGAAAAGTCCAACTTGCTGGGAAATTCTGAAAGTCTGGCCCTGTCGTCGGTGGTACTTTCTTCGTTAGATATTTCTACCACTCGGCGTCTCGATTTTTTCGGCCGGAAAGAGCGTTTGGGAAAGTTAAGTTTCAGTTTGTCAGTAAAGTTCTCTTGTTTTGCTAACTTCCAAATCCAGTTTTCGGACAATCTAGTCGATCTTCTCACAGGTCTCACGCGTCTATGCTGTGACGTCACGACAAACTTTCCTCGAATGTGCGGGGTCTTTCGCCAGCGTCTGGGCAACTTTCCTGTCTTGTACACCTTTTCCAGAGAGAGCATGTTCCGGAAGTAGGCCGAGGCTCCTGTGATACACCATAACGTCATCCCAAGGCCAAGCAGACTGAACACCACACCGAGAACCTGTGAGACAGAAGGATAATGATAATAATTACCTTTAAATAGTGCATACCCATGCTCACTGTAAAACATGCTGTATGCGCTTTACAACTATTGTTACACCCCCCCCCCCCCCCAAAGCAGACCCTCTGAGAACACCCAGAAACATTCTTGGCTTCCAGGGAAGCATTCAGTGCAAGCTGCGGATATCATGCGCTCAAACACTATCAAACTGACAAGTCGTTCACTGTCTATAGTCGGATACCAATTTCCACCAGGATGAAGTGAGGAAAATACGTGTAAAATGCCTTTCACAAAGACACAACGTCGGGCCCCTGGTGGGATTCGAACCCATGACCTTACGGACATAACAGTAGCGAGCCAATTAGGGTGGTCAGTGTGTTCCACATGGACTGGTCACTAATAAGAACAGTTAAGAAGACACAAATACCGTTTTTGGGACACTTGAAACAACATAAAGGCCCAGAACGTCTTGCTCTCACTGGAAAGATAGACGGCAAGTGAGGCAGAGTAACTTATGTGGAAAACCGTAAGAGAATACGGACAGGGAGAGACTAGGATAATAATATTATTGAGATTTTCTGAAAAGTAATATTTTGATTTTTTTCATCTGAGCAAAGAAATTATTGGGGATCCATAATCGCCGATGTATGTTTCTGATCTGGCACTTCACGGTGATGAGTGTGTTAAAAATAATCTGTATTGAAATTCAAGCCTGAAAATAGTGTGTCTAAACATTCTTATGGAAGCAATGTGCTAACAAAATGTTTAAACTTTTATCGCCTTATAATGGACAGGAAAGACAATTTTTAAAATCAGCATTTATCGAAGAACTTGGCCATTAAAGGACTGTGTAAATGGAACGGATAGTGATTTTTATACCGAGTTCTATTCAAATCCAATATCTCTTTGACTTGGCCCTAAAATCGCTTGATCAGTGCAACATAACTCGGTTTTTATATGAAATTTTACGACTCTTTTTCGTTATAAAAATACACTCTCGTAAAGTCATTGGTCCTTTATTTGGTACTTGAATCTTATGATCGAGTAATTGAGTACTTATAGGGCCAATTAGATACTTGTTTTGTGCAATCAGAAGTTTGATTCCCTCCCTTTGTATAACAAAATGCAAGTAAATGTGGATGGTAAAGATTGTGTTCAAATGTGCATGAACCTCCTTAAAGCCTGTGTGAGAATTATCGTTTAAGAACTGTGAAACAGAATCCACTTTAGAACAATAGCACTTGATCTATCAAACAGAAGGTCGAAGTTGAAATCCAAGTGGGATCTTAAATGCTTTTCTGTCTTTCCAAGAATATTTCCTCTCAGACCGTTGTCCTGGTGGATGTCTAAACTTTTTACTTTTGTAATGACTCTCATTGTGTCCAGTAAGGTGTAAGGATTGACAAACAGAACAGAACCCCCCGGAGGCAGTGCCACTGACTGAAGTGTCTTTAGGCCATTTCCAAAGGGGGAACATTTCTCGGTCGAGCATAGTAGAATTGCAAATGGGCTGACTCATGTCATGCTCATAAACGTGCCTGATCTACAACAGGGAACTGCTACTTTTTCTTTCCTTATCCTTACTATTGTCATTTTCTTCGACTTCTTTTGTATGTTTGTCACTTTCTTGTGACCTGCTATTTGGGGTGCCTTGATAGTCGAAGCAGACTTTGTGCTGTCGAAGCTGGAGAGGTGAGCAGTCTAAGTCTGATTCCCTGTAAAGACTTGTCTGTTGACACCCACCCCCTGGCGCTCATATGACCTTATGCTGTTGCGAGCGCCGTAAAACCCTCTACCATAAAAAATATAAACAGAACAGTGTAAAGGGCTCACCATATTTGGCGTCATTTCTGGGTGGATCAGAGACTGGTAGGGGTACGTTTGTTGTTCGGCTATTGTGTCACACAGAGGACCGGACCGACCTCTCACACAGGCAGTACATCGTCCGGAGAAAGGGTTACACAGACGCAGGAAGCAAAAGTCGCTGCAGTTTTGCAAGCAACTTTCCCCGTAGTGTCCCTCCGAGCAGACTGTGTCACAGACCTCGCCGCTGTACCCAGCCGTGCAGCCCTGGATACACTCGCCGTTCTCGTGGTGGCACGGTGTTCCTGGCAGGCAGGTGGCGGGGCACTGGGAGAGGCACTCTGCACCGTATGTCCCGTTTGGACACGCTAAGTCGCAGAATTTCCCGAAATAACCAGGAATACATCCTTGTAGACACCTGCCTGTCACGTGATTACATTTGCTATGTTTACAACTCTGGGCACAGGTGCTTTGGCACTGGTCGCCAAAATACCCCTCACTGCACCTTATACTGCACTTCCCTCCAATGAAGCCTGGCTGGCATTTTTCGCATTCACCATTCTCCCTCGTGCAGTTTTTACTGAGGCAGTGTTCAGGACAGCGCGTTCTACATTCCCTGCCGTAGACGCCTTGTATACATTCATCACAGTACCCTGAATGTTTTTCACAATCCTGTGCACACAAAGAATCACATTTGAGAGAGCAGTTCATACCATAGTACCCAGGTATGCATTCTTCGCACACATTGCCTTCACACTCAGATCCAGAGAAACACGCACCTATGCAAGTTGCATTGCAGGTATTGTTGGAGCCGCTTACCACCGTCACGGTGTGGTCAACGCAGGTGTAGAGACAAGTCCCGTTGTACCTGCGACATTCTCTTACTCCACATGGACACAACGTGTGCTTGCTGTTGCATTTCTCGCCGTGAGAATAGTTTAAACAGGTGTCAGAGCATGATACCCCAGAGTAGCAGCTGTTGTCCAAATAGTTTTCGTGAGCAGATGGCAAAGATAGAGGCCAGATGAACAAAGCTGCTGTCAGTACCAAAGACAGCACGACTGCCGCCATAAGTGTGTGGCAAAAGCTCTACGTTAAGTCCTCCTAGTTATTACCTTTTTATGTTGCTCCTTCCGTTTCTATAGAGAGCGATCAAGCAAAATAATTGGAAATACCCAGTTGTTGATTTTTTTAGTATGACGGTTCATAGCTATGATGAGCCATGAGTCGAATTATTGCCATTGTAATGCGAATGTAAGTCGTGTTTCGAGGGGGGAGGGGGTGTTGTTGTTTGGGGGATCTTTGATGATTTGGTTTGGTTTTGGTTTACTTTTCTGATTTTCAAAGTAAATAAAAACTAAAATAGTATTACTGTGACCCTTTCTTTTCTTATTGTTTTTGTTTTGTTATTATGGTCTGAATGATCCTGCAATGCATCTGTATCATAAAATACCAAGATAGTGTCGTCATATGTGAGGCAGCGTGGTGAAATCAGGCGCTCGTCAAAATAATCAAAGTGAAGAAACTGGCGTTTTTTCGCATGTTTTTAAATTTGTATCAATTTTTTCCTTTTTTGGCTCAACATCTTTCATGCCCATGAAAGAATGTATTTCTGTGTTGATTTTACTCAAAAACGCTGATGTATATTCTCTGTTTCCAGGACTCTCCCAAGCTAAGGAAATGGTTCATCTTTGGCGGTCATTTTCTCACTAATTTTACCTCTGAAACCAGATGGCTCCCGCCTCCTTCATTTGCAAATATCGCAACCTCTATTCAAGATAATTGGATATTATTTCATCCAAAGCAAGATAATAGATTAGCAAGTTTTAAAATGATACCAATAACTCTACCTGCCCCAAAATTGACGAGAGTTTGATTCCACCGCGTCGTGACACATATATTCAAAGCGGTTCAAGTCTGTTCTTCGCGATGTATTTTTGTCTAGCTTGGAATGTCCTAAAGCTGTCTCAATTGTGGTATTAGCGCCCAATAATGCTGAAACAGAAGTAGGCACACTCTCAAATATCCAAGACATCAGCTTTTCTCAGTGTGTCATTTTCGTTCATGCTTTTACCATTATCCTTCTCAGATGCAAAATGAAGTTTGGTTCCTGGACTTATGATGGAGACCAAGTGGATCTGGTGCATATCTGCGCTAAGACGAACGAGGCGAATATCACCATCAAGAACGGCATCGACCTTCGGGGCTTCTACCCGAGCGTGGAGTGGGACATCCTCGAAGTGGACGCCGTGAAAAACATCCGGGAGTACCCGTGCTGCAGTGAGCGCTACCCAGACATAACGTTCAGCGTGACAATGCGCCGCAAGACGCTGTTCCACACTGTGAACCTCATCATCCCATGTGTGGCCATCTCCTTCCTCACCGTCCTCGTCTTCTACCTTCCCTCAGACTCGGGCGAGAAGATCACGCTGTGTATCTCCATCTTGCTGTCCCTCACTGTGTTCTTTTTGCTGCTGGCTGAGATCATCCCTCCCACGTCAATTGTGGTGCCACTCATAGGCAAATACCTCCTTTTCACCATGATACTCGTCACCCTATCCATCATCGTCACTGTCATCGTGTTGAACGTCCATTTCCGATCACCTGCCACACACAGTATGTCGCCGTGGGTGCGCCGTGTTTTCCTCAGCATCCTGCCACGTCTGCTGGTCATGCGCAGACCGCACCCGGATCAGGAAGAGCAGATCGCCGCGGCCTCGGCCCCACCCAAGAAGGTTGTGATACGGACTTGTAACGGTCTAGAAATGAGGACCCCTCCCAGGGATGACTTCGGGGCCAGGCTGCCGGCCGGCTATGGCTACGAAGACAAAATGACGACGCGTTATCGCGGCCCGCACGCGATGGAGGGACTATTGCCTCTGGACAATGCAGGCGAAATGTCGGCCTGCAGCCTACGGAGGTCTAGGCCTTATTCTAAGGAAATCATGGAGGCTATAGAGTCAGTGACGTTTATAGCAGAACATTTAAAAAATGAAGATCGAGATTCCTCAGTGAGTATGATTGTACTGAACGTTCATAACTTTCGTGCGTGTTGGTAGAATGTATGTGTTGTGTCGAAGTTGACTGTTTTGTGGCTTGCTGGTTTCCATTTGTTGGTGTAGTTATTCAAGTAGAATCACATTACGTTTGACGAGCACATCTTTTTGGTGTACTTCTAGACTTAGATGTAATTGAACTGTCAATTACATTTTGGTTTTGATTCTATCGTTTGTTGCACCAAATTAGTCTGCACTAGTAGTTCTTGACTGTGATAATGTCTGTTTCTTTTCTAGTATCAATATTGTTACAATGAGACGTTTATGTACGTGTAAACTTTCTCATTAGTCTGTGTGTGGTTGCGAGAGCAGGAAGGGGTTGTGCCAAGATTTTTTTTCCCTTTCTTGATAGTGTCTTTGAACTTTCAGATCACCAAAATTAATGTTGTGGTGTCTTCAGTTCCGTGTTTGGGCCTATGAAGTGTTAGCGTCCGTAATACTTGTGAGATTATCATTGTTTGTTAGCATTTGAAGACTTTTTGTCTAAGGTCAAAGGATAGATTGTTTCATTGATTTTGGAATGGAGTTTTGCTTCGTAATGGTGTGTAAGATTCAGCAATGATACATGTGTGTACCATAATAATTTGAAGCGTTAGTTCGCCCACACTGAAAGCCGCTGTGTAAAACATTTTTTTCCGACGTTGAACCCGTCTTGATCACGGCCACGCAACGGTGGAGAGAATTTTTATCTTGTATTCCCGTTTTTATGATGGGAGGTTGTATCCCTCTCAGCCCGGTTTAGCAGAACCGAAGCAGCCCTTCCCCTCAGTGATCTAAATCATATCGATAGGGATATGATACTACTACAGAGACAAAAACAGAACGGTGGTCTCCTAAATTTGAAGACTCTTCTCCCTGGTGGTGGGCCAGTCATTCTTTGAGGACTTAAGTTACAATATCCCTGGAGCGTGGAACCGCCTGCTGTTTACTGTAGTGTATTTATACTATTCTGCCGCCCGTTAATTTTTTAAGTCTAATTCATTTCCCTATAGTGTGCATTACATAATGTATATTGTGACAAATGAATATTGGGAGGGGGTGGGGAGGATCCCTTTGTTACAAAAAATGCGAACAGGTTTAAAACGTACGTCTTCTACAAAATCAGTGATAGTTTTTTTAGGGTTTTTTTCACCAATTGGTACGGTGTGTTTGAACTCTTTGTTTTCTGTCTTCTTTCGTTGTAAAGTGTTTGTGTTGTAGACCCCTATTGACATAATTTAGAGCATTGAGAAAGGCGGGCTTCCACCCTGCCTGTCAGGACTAACCAGGGCTTAGAAGGATACAATGTCCCAGCAGAAAGACGGGGATGCTTGATCAAAATTCTCCCCTTACAGAAAGAGACTAAGCGCTACACCACAGGCCCTGGTATTGTTTTCTGTGAAAGCGAGTTGATAGGATAGCGTTGAAATGAGATCAGCACTTTTGGTTTTAGTAAGGAGTGTCAAGTGTAAGGCCATAGTTTCTCTCACCTTGGCGAGCGTGATCGGGCGGTTATGTCGAGTATTTCTGAAGAGCTTCTGTAAGCCTGATTTGTATTCCCAAGATAACCAAAGAGCACAGCAGGGTTCCTGAGTGGGGGATGATAATTGCTAGTAACAAGGTGGGCATGCGTTAAGAGATACGGGTCTTCTAGTTGCGACTGCACGGGGAAGAATTTCCCGTCTCTACGTGTGGTGAGAATTCCAGAGTGGGTTATGCTTTGTTCTATTTTTGTCCAAATGTTGTACTGGTGGTGTATGTGAGTGCTAAGAGCAATAGTGTTGTCAAATGTGTGTGTGTTCTCGTTCGTTTACGCTGTTTGATTGGGTGTGGGTTTTCTTGATTTCTTTTAAAGAAAAAAAGGAGAGCTGCAAAGAAAATCTAAGTTTAGTGTGTTTGATTCTGTCATGATGTTATCCACAAGGGTCCATATTAAAATTTACTGGGTACCATGGTAGTAAGAGATTAAGGTCAGAAAAAAGGGAAGGATGGGAAAGTCTTCGAAAAAGAGGGGAGAGAGAAAGAAAGAAAGAAAGAGAGAAAGAAAGAAAGACCGACAAGCAAAACTCCGTGAAAGACATTCCTAGTTACGTTTTTGTGGTTCAATGACACGACCACAAAAGTAAGACCTATATCCACCTGTGAAAAGCATCAGGTACTTGACTGTTTCACGTCTCTTTACTGTGTAATTCATTTCTTTTTGTTGTGAGATGTAAGATTTATTTGATGATAGTTGTACATGTACTCTTGTTTTTCATGTGAGTGAAATAGGATAACGTCTGGTTTTTCTGTCTTGTTTTTCGTATCTGCACATGAACAGCTGCAAGTCACTGAATGTTCGATGTCTTCTCATCTTTTTGAGTTTGAATTGAGTTTTTTGTGATCACCCTGTTTTTTGTTTTCATGTGATCAATGTTGTCAGCATGTATGAATGTTATTGGCTTCTCTTTTCTCTAGCTTCCCAGAATCTGGCGTCGCAAGTACCCGGTATAGTACTGTTTTTTATTCTTTGACCCTTACTACTCTTTAACTATTTTTTATACAAACTTTGCAGAACGATGGGGCCAACTATGCCGACTGATATAATAACATGTCTACCTCAGCTTTCATTGCTTCCTGCACTAATGGGGTTTGTGGGTGAATTTTCCCTTTTGACTTGATTTGTCTCTTTTTTTGCCAGGATTAACTAGCCTGCTCATGTTTCTCTCTCCGTACAACTTGCGGGTTGTGAGAAATGGTTTTTGAAAAGTTCTGATCTTTAGATTATTTTAGATATTAGACATTGCAATGATAATTAGCTAGTGCAATTTTGTCATTCGACCACAGTTTTACGTGACATGAAAGATATCTTTCGTGGCCGAAAGGCAATTCCTCATTAAACTGTTATTGATAATTGTTTGAAAGTAAAAAAAATTTTAAGATTTCATGGAAACACAAGCCGATTTCAATGTGATTTTTAGAAAGAATGTTTAGTAGGCAAGGCTTCATATTATATCCTGTACTCCCTGCCAGCTTAGCATGGTCTGTCTATATCTTTGTCCATGAATGTCATTTTAGTAGTGTAGTGTTGAATTAAATTCTTTTGTCCAAATGGCATAGCGTGGAAAAATAGGCAAACGCCTCTCTGCTGGCTACATGCCGCAAGTTACTATGAAGAGTGAAATGAAGTAAATTCTTAACCCGAGCTTTAGATATTGGAACAACCTTCTGTTTTCTGTAGGCATTTTTTAAAAAAAACACCTGCATTTGGAATAAAGAGTAATTGGAATAACAACACACTCTATCTTTTTGCGGTCACCTGTGCAATCTACCATTGAACAATTAGGACAGAAGAGATAATTATGATGATGGAAGGTGCATTTAGTTTATTATTCTCAAATTACGGGGAGAAATGGAGGGTAGTTGAAACGTGGGGGGGGGGGGGGGGGGGGCTGCATTACAATTTCAGTGAAAAAGGATGAGGCTGTTTCAGAAGGTCGTTTGTAAAGGAAGTTCTTTTTGTTGTTGTGGTTGTGGCTGTTGTTTTGTTTTGGTTTTTTGTTGCGTCATTTATATCAGAATTTACTTGTTAATTTATTTACTAATTGGGATACTGTTATCATTCATGCTGTCATTCTTATCCTTGTTCTTATTCTTTTATTATTATTGTTATTATACATGTTTTATAAATATTATTATTAAATCAGTAATAATAATAATTATTATTAATAATAATTATTATTACTACTATTATTATTATCATTATTATTATTATTATTATTATTATTATTATTATTATTATTATTATTATTATTAATATTACATTCCATCTGTCTCTGATTTGACCGTGTGGTGAAGTCCTTTGACCCATTATTCTCTTTCTCTTGTTTTATTTTTAAAGTTTCTCTTTCCGTGTCCAGCATATCTCTTTTAAGATATTAGCTTCGTTTTGTGATCCTTTTGATTTATTTTGTGGAGTCGGGTTATTTTTTTCAGTTTGTTTTGGGGGGGTTCCGTTTTGGTAACGATTTTATTTATGCTTATCAAACATTGGTGAAATAGTTGTTCTAGCACTTGTTAATGTTAATATTTTCCAAGTTAGCGTTGAGATTGGTGTAAGTTGTCCAATGTTCATACGCTTGAAAATCGTGTAATCCCGCATTTTAATAGGTTTTTCTATTGACTCGGTAGCTTTTGAAACATTGAAAAGCTTTAAATTTTGGAAAGGTAGTGGAAATATATTTTTGGACTTTCTATGATTTTACTGCATCTGATAATATGCTGTCTCATTGCCTTCCGTACTGTTCTTGAACAGTTACTTGCTAGTAGAACTGGAATCGAGATTGTGGTTGGTTTACTAAAGGTGCAGACAGGAACAGAGTCGTGATTGCTTTCCACCCTTTTTTCGGAATAACTGGTTAACGATCGGTTGGTGTAATTACAACAGAGATGAGCTTTCTGGGGGCGGATCATGTTACCTTACATCACTGTGATTCTTTTTTTAGCCCGGCTGCATCATGAGAACACACTAGAAAAACTAGTACAAAAATGTCACCACTTTCTCTTCAACTGGTTTTTTTCCCCCTTTCTCTAAATGTGGACGTTGATTGCACTTCAATAGACGCGGGATCGGAATCGAACGTCATTGGTACACAAATGTGTTCCGTTTTTGTCCCAGCATGTCTCCTGTTCCTCAAAATGTAGGCGTTGATTACACTTCAATGGAAATGAGGGGAAGAACACGAGAAGAGCTGGCGAGGTATGGAGCAGAGCGCGAGAATGCCAACGTGAGTCGTCCACTGACCGAGGACCGAGGACCCCCCAATCGAATCCCATTAGACCCGAGGTGGTCTGTGGGCGCAAAGCATCTTCGAAAAGATGATAGTTGTGGTGGCCAGCCCGCGGGGACCTGATTAACTAGCCGATCAATCAAATGGTGAAGTCTTTCCCACAGACCTGTGGGGATGTGGATGTTACAACAATCGATGATCCTTCAA